TCAAATTTAATCCGAGCATTGTTTACCCTAAATTTAATCTTCCCCATTAGTTCCATATACTTATAAAAATTTGTTTAAATAGTTTGTGAGTAAACAGTTAAACATTAAGATATTTTGATCAAAATTTACCCAAGAAATTTTGTTAGGGCCGGCAAAGGAACAGCCAGGGGGCAAACAGATTTAATGCCTTATTTTAAATTTCAAGGGATTTTACGAAATAATAGTTACATTATTCAAACAAGATGAAATTTTAATTTTATGGGCACATTTTTTGCAAAGATTACACCTTATATAACCTTGATCTGGTATTTCATCAGAAATATTCTTCAACAGAGTTGGAATAACTATTATTTTAATTTATCTTTTTCAAAATTGTTTTTTTTTTATTTTCTTAGTGTTTACACCTTTTCCAGGATAAAGTTTCGGTTGGTCCTTCTTACCCTACGCATATGTAGGCTTTTATAGAGGTTAATAATAAAATCTGCTGAATCTCATATAACCTAATAAAAAATAACAATACAACCTATGAAATAATTAAATAATGTATAACTAAAAATTATCTCAAAGTCCCATAAACTAAACAACAGTGCTCACAACCAATAAAACTAACAACGAAAGAAAATACTTTTGTTACTGATTGTCAAACATTGTTGTTTATCTCCTGATAGCCACGTCATAAGAATCAAGATGATTCTACATCTTCTTTCCCTTTACTTTCAAATATTGTTGTTTAACTTAAAATGTAATAACATGAAACATTCGACCTTGCCGTAACGCACTTCCGTTGCATTTGTACAGATTTACACTCTAGTAGCGCCTAAAGAAGTTTTACTTCAAAGACCTAACTATACTTATTTCTGAAATATTATTGGTGGTGAACCTTTAGGCTTTGTTGTAACCTAATATTGCAAGATATTTTAATTTAGATGTATAACATCGGATAAAATTATACCCGGCACGCATTTCGTTGTGAATCTAGTTAATTAATGTTAAACGCTTGTCGCGTCTGAAGGCAAAAAAATACATTTATTCAAATCGGACTTGTCTGATGGGAACACATTGCGATATCTTTTTTGTCCTTAACATGTCAGTCGATTCTTATAGGCGGCATGTTGGTGCTCAATACATGGTTGTCTTATATACTTCGTAATTTATTTTGTTATTCGATTTAAATATTAGCATGGGTAAATAAGGTTTATAAAGATATTGATTACTGAGTAATGTATTACGTTTATATTTATTTATATTGTACATAACTTAAGTTGTAACTTTTATTAAAATACAACTTGTATACATAATTCTATATTAAATATTTGAAAGACAAATATTTACTAATAACCTTATTTAAAGTTTTGTTTCTATATATAAAAAATAAATAAATAATTAAAAAATAAACACAAAATTTTAGTTAGGGTCTAATCCTAATATGAAGGTGGCTGAGGAGTTATAACTTAAATATTCATCAATAGAGTAAAAAACATGTTCTTCAAAAAATTTATTGAGTAATTTATAAAATTTTCAATTTCTCTACTACTACTCTACTAGTGGCAATTTGTTGAAAAGCATTAAACCCAGTTCATCTAAAGTGTTAAATGAGGAAGCGGAAGTTAATGTGGGACCTTTATCAAGTTTATGTCTTGTGTCGTAATGATTAGTTTCGGGATTTGGGCTTAAATTAAACAGGTTAGCTTTATCATTTATGAAACAGAGGATGATCAAGAGATTCATGGTAGAATCTCGTGCTCACAGAAAAAAAGTCTACAAGATGTAGTGGACGATAGGGAAAACATAATTGTAATTGCTTTTTTTGTAATTGAAATACTGATGTACGTAAAGGTAAAAACCCCAAAATTGAATACCGTAAATTACATTTGAAGAAATATATAATTGATAAATTGTAAAAAAGCTATCTTTGCTTACTTCCATTTTTAGATCGCGAAGCAATAAGCAGTCTTTTGATAATTCAGGACTTATGGTAAAGCGTTAATAATGTGATAATCCCATTTCAAAATGTTACTTTTTATTCCAAGCAATTTTCTATTATTCAAAAACTCATAAGTGTTATTAAAAATGTACGTGGAAATATTATGACAAATTTTATTATTAGTATTAAACTGAGAGCATGACATGATTGAGTTTTGCTATTAGTTGTTCCTCAGTTTTTGCTTTAATGACTAAATATGTATCAAAAATTGATTTGTGAATGAAGTTTGATTAGAAAAGCATATAATTGAAATATTGATTAATATTAAATTTAGCAAAGAAAGTTTGCTCTCTTTATTTAATATGTATATATTAAGAGCTCATGCGTAATTTTAACATATATAATCCAACATGACAGGTGACAAAATAATATCTAAGTACTCACACGTCCGGGTTTCAAAGCAATTTATATATACATATATATATATATATATATATATATATATGTATATATATATATATAAATTGCTTTGAAATATATATAAATTGGCATAAGTATTGTGCCGACTCAAAAATGTTCTGATTTGAATGATTCGAATAAGAAACTGATACGAAATAACTCGATGGAGGATATATATGGACATAATATAATCTGCAAGGCAAAAAAACTCTCTCGAGAAATTTATTTAGCAAATGTGATAAATTGCCAACATAAATGATTATCAAATTATTTATAATACAAAAATTATTGAAAAAGGTTCAGTATCCAAGAGGGTTGAAATATATTTATTTTCTCGTAGGGTAAGTTGTAGGTATCGTGAAAGCCTTTTTTATGTGCTAACTTTTCAAAATATAAAAAAACAATTTTTCAAATATTTCAAATATCTCAAAAATCTAATTATTTGAAAGTGTTAAAAAAATTGAAAACTTTTTTAAAAATTGCGTTTTCGATACGGTAAGGTTCAGCAATTTATCTTAAGGCACGATGCCATGCTGCACTAGTTTTCTTATTAATTTTGGAACGAAATGTTTTTTTTCATTGTACATATAATTGAGAAATTATGAATCAAAAAGTTTAATTGTTATTTAGGAGGTTACTTTAGGTTATTTATAAATCGTTGAAAATCGCTTCTCTAAATGATTTGGCATACCACATGGTCTGTTGACAATACATCAAATTTAAATTCCATTTCTTTACATTATCGATTTTTATCGATTATTGATTGTTTGTCACAAAACGAGGCGCGGAGTATGAATCAGACATCCAAAAAAATGCAACGACTCACTTATCCTACATCATTAATCAATGGTGATATTAATGAGAGAGGAACGAGTTTCAGCGAAAGAAACCGGACAATAAAACGCAAAACAAATATCCAATAACGTGTTCATAATCAGTTATAAAATGGTTTTATTACGCAATTAAGCGCTTAAGTCGAACTGATAATTAACTCCGCAGATAAATGTCTGCGAATTTTTATTAATGGATTTATCAATGTTCTTGTTCAGTGTAGATTGCGTGGTAGTGTACGAATAATGCATGCATGTATCGACATTTTGCACACCATGCTAAATAGCTGATTAAAATACGATATAGAAATTCGATACTGCACAGAAACAAATACATGCATTCTGACAGTTTTTAGTACCATTTTTATGATAAACGCCTTCCCATTTTACGGCAGAATTGGCCGGTCAATCTTTTTAGTCCTGTGGCAACTATTAACTTTCTAGTTTAATTTTTAATATATTAAAAATATATACGTTTAACATTATGCATTATGCATTTTCAATATTGATAAGACCAAATATGAACCGATCACCACTTTCTATACTTTTCCTTTAACGATTTTTCCTAAACTGCTTACATCTTTTAACGTACGAAAAATATATTATAAAGTATAATAATAGATTTTTAGTAAATCTAGCTAATGTTTAGCACAAATAATATAACTTTTATTTTCAAATTACTATTATCGAGAAAAAAAATTAAGTTTGATACTTGGTCTTTCGTAAACAAAAAAATTTTAGTTACGTTACAAGAATTCTAATCATTTATCACTAAAGCGAATTTTAGTGCTCGGTTTTTCAACTTTAATTAAATGCTTTAATCGATATTTAAGCAGACATAATATTCAAAGACGATAAAACAATGTCAATTGTAATAAACTTATTCGTAATAGGGGAGACTGGGTACAGTAATGACAGTCTTCATAATAGATAAACTTTACTGATTTTTAAATAGGGTCGAAAGGGAGAAAGATGAAGTATGTTTGTTTGAACAAGTTTTCGTTATTGCATCTAGTCCGCGCACTACATTAACATAATCTGCAGACCGAATTGCTTTTAAAGAGTCAAAAGGGTTTTTGTTCGATTATTTTTAATAATAATTGTTGCTTGTATACAGATAGATCACTTTATTTGTTATTTTTGTATATTATTAGTTTTGTATATTTTGTATATTAGTAGTTAATTTCCAGCTATTAGTTTTGTTTTATATGGAGACATGTATATGTTGTGTCATGACTGTCATGTATTTCTTGTCTTTTTTGGGTGAAATTTAAACAGATAAACAGATAAAGAAATATCTAACTTAACTAAGACAAAATACGAAAGGGAAACGGAAAGAAAAAATTCATTGCAAGAAAACGAAAGATTTCACGAAGATTTTCTTGTTTACAAAATTATATTTTGTTAATATTGTTATATTATATTCATTAACTTTGTTTAAATGATTATGTTGTGTTGTATTACATATTTGTGACTATAAAAATCGTTATGAACCATTAGCTATTGTTATTTAACCTTAGCTCAGGTGTGTGTGGACGGTTGTGACACCCGCTCTTTTTTTGTACGAATTGATTTTATTTTATTTTATTTAATTTATTTTTATTGGCTTCTAAATTACAACTAGCCACTTACAGTCTAATATAAATCATTTCTACTCTAAATGATATAAGAATATATACTTATAATGATCAATGAAAAGTGGCAAGATGTTTATTTAATGTACCATAAATAGTTATATAAGTTTATTTCCAAATATGAATTTTTATTAATATATTTGTGTTTTATAGACATTCTTACAATTCGTGGACATGGCAGCTGACAGTGGTGTACGAGAATCGGTTCTGCATTCCGTTCGAAAATTCTGCACACCTGAATTGGTGAGTTCAATGAAAAAATACTATTAAATTTAATTTCCTATAGCTTCAGTTTTTTAATCAATATAAATTACAATCTGTCAGTAGAAGATGATTGTAATAATAGATAGATTGTGACCATACAGATAGTAATAACATTACAAACAGGCATTCATCCAGATAATATAATAACTAGTGGACTAATAATAAAACTAGTGTAATATAATAACTAGGCTTTAAGGCGTACTGCTGGAACTTTCCGTGCCAAAAATTAAAATTTTTGAAAAAGCTTTAAACATTTTTGCAAAATTTGAAAAAATGTGATTTATGAGAATTTTTTGAAAAAAATTTACTTTTTTGAAAATTTTGATTTTTTTTTTCATGTTATAGTACATATATGTATTTTAATATTATAGTATATTTTTTCATATTACTGTATTTGTATAATAGATAACATTTTTTGTTTTTATTTTTTACCAAACACGATAAATTTGAATGAAAATCTGAGTATATAATATATTTTTAAATATTCTTGTGGATTTATTATGGATATTGTTTAAATAAGCATTTTTGATTCTACCTACATTTTAAAATACATGACGGCATTAAATTTTTTGAAATCATATTAGAAAGTATCATGTTTATTGAAATATTTCTGCTATTATATTTATGATCAACTATTTATAGACAAATATTTCTAGTGCCGACAAGGCATAGTCGTTTATCAAATCTTTCAGTCACGCCATAAGAAACTTAAACTGGGTTTTACGCAAAAACTATAAATAAATCAGTTGAAATGTGAAAAAATAAAGAGCACCAGAACAGAAGGCGCCTTTAGACAGATCTTTTGACACCGAACGTTTGGAATTCATCCAAATTCATTGAGCCATAATTTATATTTATCGAAGTAGTTTAAGACTGTGAAATATATTGTAATTTTAACATTTCATTGATTTTGTTCTGAACAGAATGTAACTCAAAATTTAGAAATATGATGGTTTTTTTGCTCATTTGTTTTTTTCTAATTATTGGTATCAGTAATAGGCCTGATATTATTAGTAATATTTTATATTTATTATTCCAAATAAAGTAGCAAAGTCGAACTAGAAAATTTTAACTTGTATTAGCATTTCTTACGCAGTTTTGATGCTAATTTCTGCCTGTTATTCAACGTTTTTTATACTAAATGTAATTTTTTATTAAGTTATTTTGAACACTACAATAACACAAATTTTTAAATTTTAAATTAGCACTGATAATAAGAGAAAGCATAGTCTTTTTAACATTGCTTATTTTAATCATTTTAAAAATTAGCGATAAAATGTATGTAATGAAATGTAGTGTTCATATTTACTAAATTAATAATTGTCTCACAGATAATACCATTTGGTATTTGATATATTGTATATATATATAATTTGTTTTTTTATTATTTTTTATTGCTTACATCTTGCCAGGGTAAAGGTTCTGTTGGTATTTTATACCCCACCCGCGTGTAAGCTTTTACAGAAGTTATATAAAAAAATGTTTAATCTAACTTGAAATTAACAATATATCTTATGAAACAATTAAATAAAGTACACTTAAAAATTATATTATCGTAGAATAACAATAACAGCTCCCACAACTAAAAAAGTAACAATGAAAAAAAAACTTTTGTTATGGATTTTCCAACATTGCCGTTTATCTCCCGACAGCAACATCATACGAATTAAAGTCATACATCTTTATCTGTAATACATCTGGTAATACATCTTTTCCATCTGTTTTCAAATATCATTGTTAATTTTTTTTAACCTTTTCCACTCGGATGCCTGGCAAAATACGACTTGATCTAACAATTAACGAGTTGAAAGGGTTAACTTTTGAGATTTGTGGTGGATCTTCTTATCCGCTAATTATTAAGTCCCATTATATATATATATATATATATATATATATATATATATATATATATATATATATATATATATATATATATATATTGAAGAGACGTTAGTTATAAATTTACTAATTAATGATTAAATGTAACCAATTTTTAATAACTTCTTGAGTAGATTAGAGTTTTTTTGGAATACTTAACGATGAGAATTGGAACATTTGTAGCTCTTCTGGAAGTGTGTGAAATCAAAGAATTCATTTAGATACAAAAATTTATTTGGCGCTTTATTATAATATTTTAGTCGTTACTTCTTCAACAGTTTAGGACTTACCAACTTTTATATTTTTACATTTTAAAATATTCCCATATTTGCCGAGGGTACATGAGCTATCATAAACTTTTATTAAGGGTTGTCTTGCAGATGTACAAGATATTCGCAACATTTACCGTTACTTGGGATTATACATCGTTCAATTATGTTTTTTTTTAAAATATTTTTGAACAGCAATCAGAGCCTTACGTCCTATGAGCTATTGGACTGAAACATCTCCTTACTCCATATTTTTTTTAGATGGTAACCCAATGGTTAATCCATCCATATTTGATGATTTTTGTTATTAGAATTAATCTAATAGGGCTGACATTTTATTGGTACACCAATGCCGGGCAAGGGCTATTTTCACTTGGAAACATATTGCTATCTATATTTTAAAGTGAAAATCGTTGTCACTGCTGCCTGACAACAGGCTGCTCGAAGTGGGTATCGAACCCGGGACCTCTGAAACAAGTCCCGTCGCTCTTAACCGCTTACCTACGGGCGAGCCCATATCGTTCAAATGAATTTACTTATGACTATTATTTATAATTATAAAGAACAATTCTCAACATATATATATATATATATATATATATATATATATATATATATATATATATATATATATATATATATATATATATTTATATAAATATATAATATATAAATAGTTATAATATATATATATATATATATATATATATATATAAATATATATATATATATATATATATATATATATTAGGGTGGTCCTTAATATGGACATTTTCGAAAATACTTGCTCCAATATGGAACCATTTGGGCAAGGAAATTCGAAAATGTCCATATTAAGGACCACCCTAATATATATATATATATATATATATATATATATGTGTGTGTGTGTGTGTGTGTGTGTGTGTGATGTTACATTTATATGTATGCTAATATGTTTTTTCCTTTTTTTGCAGATACCGTTCTGGACCTGTTTCAATGAAACTTTGCAGGGTGAGTTCCATTTAATTGCCGTTGGTGTGAAGTCACTATCAATGGGAATAAAATAAAAGATAATATGAAATTCAGTCGTCTCCTTGCGTATAAATTGCTTTTGAGAGTGTGTACGTGGTATAAATCAGAGTTGACCTAGGGATACACTATATCAAATGCTTCAGATATCGAATCGCAATTACTCATTGTGTATTTTTCTTGCGTTTGTTTTATTTCCGGAACCGTTAGTTTCATCGAGAAGTGCTAGATGATAAGTGGTCAACAGGAAGAAATACCTGCGACTAATTGAGTAGGCGGAATTCAGAGGAAAAAAATGCATCTTATATTAATTTTATGTGATACGCATATCGATATATATCTGTATGATATAGGTGAACTAGGGGCTATATGTAACGGGGGTAACTAGTAACGTTATAGAGCTAAATTACACATGAAAAAAGAGTGCGCGTAAGGTTATTTGCTACTGTACAAGATGGCATTTAAGTAAAAATAAATACATCATATAACAATTTTGAATAATGTTTATTAGTAATATGGTAACACTCGTGATGCACATATTTATTAGTGTCAACCATTATACACATTTATATAATGATAAATTATAAATGATATACTTATAATAGCATTAAAAATATGTATAAGTAAAAAACATTAATGTAATTAAAGTCATACTTCAAATATGACATGATCGGTTTGTCATTGTAATTAGCATTTAGAAATGAACCTTCATTAGAGAAATGAAGTAATTGCTGATTAATAAATTCTATAATATTCGTTCACACAGTGGATTATGTTAAACAACGCCTAAACAATTATTGTTTTCGCAACTTCATTCATCGTGTAATAATTGTGTTTGTAGAACTTCATGTAATTAAAATTAACATACATTCATTGACTTTTTTATATTATATTTTTTTTACTTTTTCGCTTGCGATATAATCTCATTCTTTGAACAGCTGTAATATCTGTTTTGCCTAAAAATATTTTCCATTTCAATAACTTCAAAGATTTATATAAACTACGAATAGTATAGAAATTATTTCAATAAATTTATGTTTCATACACGACGCAAATGCTGCATTTGTTTTATTATTTTCATTATAATTATTTACGGGGGGCAGGGTAAAATATTCTTCTGATTCAGACATTTTTCATTAAATCAAGATTTGTACTACGATGTATTTTTAAAATGTTTATTTATCTATGCCGATTTCCTTGTTGATATCGGTACGCATACAACGTTGATTCCGGTACGCATACAAAACGGATCTCTATTCACATACGCGACGACTAATCGCAATATATATATCGCCATTATAGAAATTATCCTATCTTATCTGCCGTAACGCACTTCCGTTGCATTTGTACGGATTTACACCCTAGTCGGGTCTAAAGAAGTTTTACTTAAAAAAAATGAATAATCCGATAAAAAATAAAGAAAAAAAAATGTAAATAAGAGTGAGTTTACCAATAAAGAAAAATAAATAATTGAAAAATATAATAATAAAACAAAATGTAGTAAGTGCTCCAATAAGCAATTGACTATGGCAAACTTTTTTTCACATTCTAGTCTATTTTTCGAAGTTTCTTGTGTAGTCTTCTTATAGGCGGATTATCAAGCAGATGAGCCATTGTTGCATTATAATGATTGTAAATTTTTGCATGGTGTTTAGTACTGGTATTTTTGATGATATCCACTACAAAAGGAATATTGAGGTCATCATGTATGATTTTGTTGCTAACAAACCATTGGACATCAGTAATCGTTCTTAGTGTTTTAGATTGTAGTCGTTGAACAAATCCCACATTTGACTAATTTTAAAGTTATAATTCTTATTAGTTTATATTCTTATAAAAATATGTCAATCTTTGATAATGTGCAACAATTTTGATGATTTGTTGTTTATATAGTTGTTTATTTATTTAATTTTATTGTTTAAATAGTTTTCTTGATTAATGTAAAAAAATCACACCTTGGGTTAATTGTAACAAAACCTTGGGGTTAGTTGTAACATACAAGAATTATATACAGATTCAATTTAAGAAGACAGGGTGAAATTTATAGTTTGTAAGATGTGGTAAATATAAATTATTTAAATTAAAAATACATGTTAAGTTTATTAATTTATCAATTGAATTTAAAACTAAAAAAGAAATTAGTAAATGTTTTTACTTAGCGAAATTTTACATCAATTTTGTATCTAACATCTTTTGTTAGATAGAGAGAGAAAGACGTTCTCTCTAGATTTTTTTTGTTAGTAGTTGGGTAATGCTGCAATTTTCGAATTTGTATCGAAATACCACTCACACCTAGTTTCTTATTTTACCAGCAATAAGAACTATTCTCAGTATTAGATGAGTTATTATGAGGCATTTCAACTATCTGGATTTATTAGAATGCAACCGAATGGTTGTCTTTTTATTTTTGATGAATTTTCTAGTTACCTACTTGACTGCACCAATGTCTCATAATCTTATTTTTATTTGGTAACAGATTTAGGCTTGGTTTTCAATTCAGGACTAATGTTTGATAGGTTGATCAGGTTATTCCTAGCGCGGGATTTGAACTTGGAAGATTGTCCTTGTAAGGCCGAAGCACTTGCGACTGCACTACGAATGATTCGTATATTCACATAATATAATGTTGATTATAAATCTATTTAAATAAACCTGTACACCTGTAATCATTTATTACATTAATCTATACATTTATCTATTTTATTTGCTGCTATTGATTATAGTATTTATCCTATCTTATTATAGGATTGAAATTTGTTTATAATGTTTAAATAAGTTGACAAATCTGCCTTTGAGAAGCTTTTCTCTAATATCGTAAATTAAATGAAAAAGAGGCATACAAGAGTGTAAGGATTATAATCCTCGACGCGTATGTACTATATTTTTAATTTTATTTGCGGAATTTTTGCAATTACTACCGCTGACTCTTTTTTCCTTCGTGATTGTGTGACTGGAATCAGAATATGAGCTTTCTTGTTTTTTAGTTATTTTCAGATAAAATCTATCTCCATTAAGACCTATTTACCAGCGCCATTCCGTTTAACGACTCCTGCTATTGCATCTAGTGTTCTTGTAAAAAATGTTTTGCAATATTATACTTAAGTACAGAAGCGGATTATAGTTAAGTTCGAGTTTATTTTATTTTATTTTAATTCAATTAGGGATAAAAAATTGAATCCCTAACGGTTCTAGTCACCATAGACAGTTGAGTTTATGAAAAAAGAAAATTATATATTTTGAAATAAATAAAAGTTTTTCATATGCGTATGTCCACTTTGTGCTTTTTGTATAGAGCATTTGCTATATGAATACTAAAAACTAGATTGTGCTGCTTAGGAGTGAATTTGGGTGCTAAAAAATATAAATATTTTAGTCTGGAAAAACCTTGCTTGTCTATTTAACAATAAGTGAAATTGTACGGTATAACATAGTTTCCAATGTTCATCATAAGTTATACTTTATTTTGCTCAAATCACAAAATAATCAAAGAATTTATAACGAGTAAATCTTTCTAAACTATCTTCTTTAATTTTATTAAAATATTAAAATATGGAAGTCAAATTAGAGTGAACCTAAAGAAAAATTGTAAATGAAGACAATTATATTAAAATTTATTTTATTACACACATCAAGTATCTCGAATCAATAAATCAAATTAGATGGTGCTTGATATGTCATTTTGCATTAGACAAAGAAGTATGTATTAGGAATTTTTATGCTATTTCTACAGCAGATAATAACTAAAACACTACATATTGAAATTATTCTAGCGTTAAGCCTTTCTCTCGAGATCTTACAAAATAGATAAACTTTGTCACCAGAATAACTCTTAATTAATAAACCAATTTGTGATAAAGTGGAAAATTAAATTAGTAATAAACATTCTTTATACATTACACACATCGGTCATACTTTTTCAAATCGCACATATTTTGAATAAAATAAAATGTCACATACATATTAGAATTGTCTGATTTTTTGTTACAGATATTATACATAAAATCATTACACGAATTTCAGGATTTTGCTGAAAAAAAATTTTTACGTAAATATTTACGATTGAAATATGGATTTTTTGTTGAATTTCTATGAACATCCTCTGCGGTAAATTAAATATCTCCCGTGGTGTTGATTGGATTAGTATTATTATTTTTTTATTGCCTCATATTGAAGTGAAATTTGTAATGATTTAAAAAAATGTTTTTGCAATTTTCTTAACAATAACAACCTTTAAATATTCACCAAGGTTTTACTTACTCTATCCTCAACTTGAATCGATTGAAAAAAAACTTATTTTTTCTTTTTTTCTCTGCTACAAAATTCTTTTTACAATTTGTTGGAGACTTCATTACATCGAAAGATATTAAATATTTTCTAGATCGCGCTTTTCACGTCGAGTACCTCAAAGACTTGTACTGATTGAGTATTTTCGAATGACAATCTTATTGTTTTTTGGTCGAAAAATATTTTATAATTTTGTTTCTGGCGCAAAATGAATATGCAGGCGAATAAAAATATATTAGGGGAGAGTGGGGCTTTAAACGTCGCGGGTGAAAGGTCCACTAGACCACTACTAATATCTCAAAAACAAGTAAAGTTAGGAATATATATAATGGATAGTACTGCCCTTGGGCAGGTTTGTGAGCCGAGTTTAACTTCAACTTGATTCAGGGAAAAAGTAGTTTCTCATTTCCATTTCACACCGAAGTGCCCGAGATGAGCACTTTTCAATTGGAAACATATTACCCTTACTTTTACTCTAGCTCTACCTTTGTCTTTACCTTAGCTCTACCTTTACCTTTACTCTACTTCTATCTCTACCTTTATCTCTATAGAAAGTTTGAATTAAAAATTTAAAAATTTAAAAAACAATCTACTTTAAAAATCCTAACTTTACTTGTTTTTGAGATATTGGTGGTGGACCTTTTACCCGCGAAGTCCAGCCTAATATATTTTTTCGACTATATATTCATTATATTTCG